GTAGTTGCTGCGTTCTCTCCCATCGCCTAGACGTTCACTGCTCACCTTTCCAGAAAAATCTCACTATCACTCCGCATGAATACTGCCATCTTCCAGAAGAACTGCAATGGCGCCAAAAAACCTCGTACGAGGCACGCGGTCTGTTTCCGACTCAGTTCTTAATGACTTTGTAGTTTCTGCTAACTTACGCAGGCACCGCCGTTAGTTTACCCAGTCACAAGGATTTACCTTGCTGTGGTAATCGTGGGCGGAGGGAAGGACAAGAACTTCTCAAACGATATCTACTGCCTCTCCCGAACATCGAGTTGACTCCTGGCAAAACGTGATGGATATTGGCAATTGATCGATGACTGACTGACGTCTGTTAATTGAGAACAAACGCCTTCCAGAACGCAAAACCAAGTTTCTACATAGAGTTATCGCAGGCAAAATATGTATGTTTGCTGCTCTTTAATAAATACTCTATGAGACGAGAAAGAAGGAGAATCGGATGTGTCCTATCACAAGAGAAAGAAACGGCCAGAAAACAATTCTCGCTGAGCAACAAAGTATACTAGAATACTCATACAAGAACAAGTAATAAACGGATTGAAGACAAACCACGCGATTGCATATTGTGGTTAGTAGCGCTCAATGACAACCCTATAGTTTCTAAGTGACTTTTCAGAGAAGTAGAAAGCCAAACGGTCATGGAGAACACCCTAAGGTGGCCCCCGGTAGCATCACTGCACGAGTTCTCAGACTTGCTTGTTTTGTGCCAGCTAAGCGATATCCTGCCGCCTCTAGCTCACTAGTCGTTTCCCCGCGTCACCCAATGCTAATATTTTCTTACAAAGAAAAAAAAAACGAAAACACGGTGTAAAAGCTGAACCCATGAGAGAAAAAGTCTATGAATGTTGATTTGCGTGAAACAAGGAAGGCATCAGAGCTGCTACTTATGGGGGCCACTTCCGCACCTCCGTAACTCCTCTTGCAGCCACGAAAGGGACTGAGAGTCAGACTTCTTGTACAAGAAAGGGCGCGTGCGAATTGCTTGAGCGCGGTTACTGCTATCTTTAAGGGCCTAGTTCTAATATCCCCTCCGACTAACAGACGACATCATTCCCTCATGATCCCTGTAAACTGGACGTCGAACAAAAGAACACGTCGGCGAACCAGATCTGTATTGCTGCCTCCAAGTTAAAACTGTGGGCGAGGAAACACCGTAACTTGCTGTCTACTAAATAGATCTTCGTGCAGATGGGTGGAGGGGAGTAGGCAAATGGGTTTAAGCTTCTCAAGAGAAAAATCAGTGTTCCGTATGTGGACGTGTGTAAATATTAACGAGCCCGACTAATGGTAAGTTTCAAAGATGACCCCAGGTTAGCCGGAAAGTTCAAAGCCGCGTTGTTGCGTATTATTGTTGTCGCAAGGCGCGTGCTTCGTCGGCGGCATGTTGTTGTAAATCTGTCGTGACGTAGTGATTTAACACCACCGGTGATGTTTTTCATTCTGTACCGCCCTTGGGAAACTCTCGATTGTACGGCTCATGGATTCATTCGGCAACAATCAGTGAAGCGCTAGAACCTCTGAATTAAAGCGCTGCATGGTGTTCTTGAGAGAAATATTAAAAGGCTCTCGCTAAACGTTCTAAAGAGTTACTCTGCCCTACATCTCTTTAAATTTTCCTTTAACTAAAGTACAGAAACCAGCACAGATGTGAGATGAGACTTTCCTCTTGAGAGAGCTGAATAGTGTGACGTGCTCACCTGGGTGGATATGCGAATGCCGTCTTCGCCCACATGTCGTAGCTGAACGGATGCATGAGATAGGCGATTTGTGGAGGGATCAGTGGCCAGGCGATTCCGCCAACTTTCTGGCGTTTATCCTTCATCCGACGGTTTTGGAACCACACCTCAAAAGGGAAAATTTGGTCTCAAATTGAGCGAATAGCTCTCGTAGGTCTCAGCATGTGGGTCCGCGTATAATTATTTCATATGCGCAGCTAAAATCAAGGCCCATTCCGTGTGGGGCTCAAGGGCTTATACCTGTAGCTCTTCCAGGTGGTCATATCGCAAGAGCTGCGCGTGCTTTTTCACGTTGATAACTTGCAATATTTATTTATAAACTTTGTTCATTTTTCGTTCAGTAGATCATCGATTCAGCCGGCAGCCTACTGAAAGGGAGGCGGGGCGAGTCGAGCTCCTTTTGTCGCTATAGCTTTGAAAGGCCGCCTTCCCGCCATCAATCATCTCCGCGCGCATAACACATCTCTTCATATAGCTTTATGCAGTCAAATCCTCGTTCTCCAGGGACCTATGAATTATGCCCTAAGAGTTTTCCCCCAACACCAACTACAAATGGCTTTCGTCCGACTACGGTAGCTGATTATAGATAATGGGGTACGGTAGGTCAACAGAGAGTTAGCAACTTGCCCTCTTGAATGTTCCCGAGAGCTTTTATAGTCAAGCTGTATAATCAACAAATGGTTAGCCATAGGTAGCGCACCATTTCCCTATTACTATCATCTTTGACGGTCGAGATGTGAGGAAGAAGAGGAAAAAACGGTGAAAGAAGGGGTGAAAGGGGACTAGATCGTCTCAGTTGCGAGATAGATATTTCGAGTTCTAGCACCTGGGCAGCTCTATCAAAGCAAACCTATTTACATTGAATCCGGGAGTTCTTCATGAACGAATAGACCTGAAGTTGTGGGCCCCCGAAGAAAAATTCTTCTGCGGTAGGTTTCCCCCTCACCAGGTTCCCTCAAACATTTTCTGATGAGTGCTTGCGAACACCTACTTTACGATATGTCGGAAAAAAGCAGCCCACTTCTGTCGATGACCCTAGCGTTGTGTATACTTACCTTGATGGTTCCCTCTGGAAGATTCAGTTCTGCGGCAAGTTCTCCTCGCGTTTTCCGCGATACGTAGTTTTCCTTGGCGAACTCGCGTTCAAGTCGTCCAATTTGCTCGCGGGAAAACGCAGTACGGTAGCGTCGAATCTGGCTGTCATCACGAGGATCTGTAAAAGCGAAGTGATGAACGTAAATGAAGAAAAAGAGAACGGGTCCGGCTATACAGCCCTAATCCTGGCTCAATAAGCAACATCCTGCCACTCACTCAGCGACTGGCCGTTTTCGCTCTTGGCTTATGCGCGTTGAATATCAAGGGTGACGATGAAAAACATTTAATCGAGAAAATGGGCTCAATTAGGGCATGGGCATATCGAAAGCGACAGCAACTGAGTGGGGAGTCGTGAGCCGTTTACGAGGTATACTGTGTCGAGGGTGTCTCAATTACTTCTTATTACCAGTTTGTGACTAATTAACGCACAAATTATCCACGAGAGCGTGCCATGGAAATCGCACTTTAATTGCGCATTATTGAGCGATTAAGGCGTGTTCGACAAAAACGCGTTCGAAACGCGATCCCCTGGCAGAGGACAAAGGTCAGGATCATACGAGAAGATGGCATATTCGAGAACTACCTCTAGAAACTCGATATTTAGTGCCTCACTCGCACTAAATGGCCAAGCTTTTCACTTCTACCCGTTCGTATCAGCCCTTTCATTAGCCGCTTAACCGATCAGAGTACCGGAAGGTCCCTTGCAGAGCACTGTTTCTTAAGTGGCCATAACTAGAGTATTCTACTGAGGCAATGGGAAGGGGAACGAAAGAGTGACTATGCTCATGTAGCATGCCATAGCAGGTCATACAGCGAGGTAAGCGGATATTCTAGACTTCGGACACTCCTTCCAATCCTCCAGAACCGTCTAACCAACGTGGGTGAGATCACAGCGCCACTGCCAAAGAGTTGAGTTATAAGTAACGAATCGGGGATCGGCTTGGCCTGAATGGCAACCGTTCTGGTGCCTTCACAGACTAGAGCAGCGGCTTCCGAGAACCTACATAGAGCAGTCGCAAAGACTGCGCCTTTCCGAGCCTATCGGAGTTGATGGTCTGCTCCAGCTTAACGCAATGCAGGGGGCTGTCCCACGCCCTTTGTAGAGCCTTGGAACTACTGGAAACTTCCACGTTTTTCGTTCCACTGCACCAACGAATTTGTTAAGTGGGACCATCTACTAATATTGGCCTGCCGTGTTCCTCAGAGGTCTGAACATGGCTCAAGTTTAGAATTGCTCTCTTTACGCCATCGAACGCCTGAACTACTAAGGGATTCTGACTGAATATCAGGAGAATAAGCGAAGCTCCCGGAAGCCCACCTGGTACCGCCGGGGCATAATATAGTGAAAACTATCAAATTGGAAGGGGAAAGGAGCATAGTTCTTCTCATCAAG